CTGGAAGGATAAAAGAAAAGTATTTAATTTATGTCATATACAGAAAAATAATACTGAAAACTAGTAAGAAATAACTTATCTTCAGCTTACATCAGTTACCTTGGTTTAAATCATAGCTAATTCTAACAGACTATTTATATTGTTGCAAACAATAAGCTAACTTAAAATTCTGTAAAGAACAACTATATTACAACAAACAGTGGCTCCTAAATGCCCTGGTAAGGCCAAGAGTGGGGAGAGTTTGCTCCCCCTCTCCAAATGCTCTCCAAATGGCCACGCGTATATAGCCTCTGACAGGGAAGTTCTACTCATTGACCTCTCGTAGCGGGGATGTTGTTCACGAAATTGAGAGGACGAAAAGTGAATGCCGACGCTTTAACCGGGTTGATGGACATGGAGAGTTCACCTAGGGGAGTTAGAAAACCCTGATTCCAAACGAATGGTGAACATGGGCTCAAGTATCCTGAAGGAACAAATGGCGTATGAACCAATCGTTGGTCACTGGCTACCATGGTACTGCATCTCCTTGCGATGCTCCACTGCCTTGTGGATCAGACCTTCAGGTCAAAGGTTCGGGGTGTGGCCCCCTAAGAAAACCACCTGCTTCGGTTTGAGTACCCGGGCAGTACCACAACCCTCACACGAATCAAATGAGATTTGTGTGGCGCATATGTATTTGGTGCCTCCTTTTACCAATATCTATTTGTTGAAATAAAATAAATAAAGTGGCTAGAAAGAACTCATCATGAAGAATATTAACCTCGGATTCGAAATAGAACTGCGGATATATAGACGACAGTAATTCCCAGATATCAGCTATGGACATATCTAGTATATTGCATCTCGACGTGATAGATGAAAAACACAAATATAGTAAAAGTTTGAAGTTTGAATGGAATTTGTAATGAAAACTAAACAATTATAGGTAGAACTCATTCATTAAATGAACGTAGAAATGATCGAAGATGTGAGTACATACACTTAGTGAATAATGAAAACGTTGCAGTTAACTTTAGCCACCCTAATGATATATGAAACAAACTGTCTAGAATCAGACTTTTTTAATGTTTAACTCACAGAGAATACTCCATCTGGAATCCCAGTGGTATTGAGACGCTTAGGGTCTGGAGAATTTGAATCACGATCACTATGATGTGAATCAACGGAATTTCTTATCTTCGGAGATTGTTGTGTGCTAGCGATCACTTCACACTTGATTTCCTCATTATTGTCTTCAATTTTCAGCTTATTATGGGGACTAACCAATGTTTTATCATTGAATTCGGGAAGATTAACGCTGATATTAGGTGGTATTATACTATTGCTTATTGTTACCTGGAAAGAAGTAAAAAGGTGTCATTTGATTATTCCATTCATAAATCAAATTCATCAAACTGAGTTCAGTTTTGATACTGAGAAATTTATTACAATTCAAGCATGTAACATAATCAAATAAGAACATAAACACGGTAAAAAATGTACCAACACTACTATTAGTAATCTAAAAGACAAAAAAGGTATTAGCAGCTAGATATAAATATAACTGAAACGAAATCTAAACATGAACAAACCGCTTTACAAAAAACTGAAATAAAATCAAAGAACGAAAGATTGATGATGATAATAATAATACTTGATTTGAGATTTACAGAAGAATACACAATGAACATAAACACGAGTCGCTGAAACCGATTTCAGACTATATGATCCATAACATCTACTACTACCAAGTGTATAATGACCAGCAATTATGTGCGCATACTAACATGGATCAGATTATCAGCAGGGCAATAGGTATTCAATGTAAAAATGAAGGGTTAGTTGTATAACAACTATTTTATATGATAAATCAGTCAGTCAGCTAAAACGTAAGACCAGGCACATATATGCATCGGTCCAAGTTGCAACAACTCATGAGCACAACAAAATGAACACTAAATTTATAGTTGTTACTTCAACGGTAGTAAAATATAGAAGAAAGATTGCATATAAGGATATAGTACAGGAAGAAAGAATTTGGTCGTAAAAAGAAAGGTATAAAGTAATTTTAATTTTACGGTTTAAAGGAAGACAGAGTGTGTACACTTACGCCATTGTGATCAATCCTGAGCCATATCATCAAAAGTCTCCGACGATTGGTTACGATAGTCACGAGGACCCCAACAAAGTAGTCTACATCTACCAACATGGCTCAGGTCAGAAGTTAGTGACTCCAAGGGCTGATGCCCATTTCCGTTTGCAACAATCGTTTATCCAGAATTAAATTCTTAAGACTGTAGCTGTGAAACAACTGTTGTTTTAAAGTGATTACTTATCAATTTATTTTGAGTGGCAAAGTAAGATAAGAATCATTTGATGCAACAGAAATACACCGCAATTCTTAACACTAATCGTTTAGTGCTTGTATAAAAAAAGACTAACATGTGTGACAAAAGCATTGGAAATTTACACTCATCTGTGCAACTCATTTCGGAAGTAAAACTTTCGTATTCGGCTTTGAATCACATTGCCTATGTATGAGGAGCTAGCAATAATATCCAATTGCCAAGATCAAAATGACTGAAGCAATCCTTGAGTATAAGGTCGACTGTAGTTGAAAGTTGATTGCCTTAATGGTTAAGCTACCGCTAAACACACAGATCAGTTCGTCTTCTACAAAATTTACTGGAGCTATTGATCGTTTAATACAAGGGAAAGTAAACAATCGAACTTACCTCAACATCCTTAATTTCGATAAATCCTGAACGACGGGTGAAACGACCTTTTTTTGTAGTTGAAACTTCGTCACTATCTTCTTCATCTGGTTTCGATCTTTTCAAGACACGTTCATTTGATTTAAAATTAGAATCAACTAGACCAGTTTCATCAACAATACCAATCACTGATGATGATATTGATGATGCATCGATTTCTTGTAATGAGGAATCAATTGTAATTGGATTTTGTGGTAAATCTGTGGGTCGATGTTCATCTTTTTGATTTGTAAATGGTACTAATCCACATTGTGCGATAATATCTGGCCATGCTTTTGCAACTGCATTAACCAACTGTACCAGAAGTGACTCTTCAAATTCAAATGGAAAATTACCATGTAAATGACCATCATAATTGTTCAGCAGTTCTTCTAAAAAATTCACATCTTCCTGAGCTTGATCATCACCCATATATGGTAAATTAGCTAATTCTGTTTCATCTTCAACAGAGAAATTATGTTGGACAGGAGCCCACATACAAACGGAAGGCACAGGATCAACCTATAAAAGTGGAGTATTTATTTTAATTATTAGTTATTTATTTAAACTGATAAACATTGGTACAAGGAGGCACCAAATAGATATGCGCCACACAAATTTGATTTGTGTGAGGGCTAGGATACTGGAGCCCATGTGCACCATTGGTTTGGGATCCGGTTAAAGCACGGAAAATTCGCTTTTCGTCCTCTCAATTTCGTAAACAACACCCCTGCCACGAAAAGGCAGTGAGTAGGACTTCCCTGACAGAGGCTGTATACGCGTGGCCATGTGAAAGCATTTGGGGAGGGAGAGCGGACTCTCCCCACTCTCGGCCATACCAGGGCATTTGGGGGCAAAGCGGAAGAGTGGAAAGAAAATGACAAAAAACGCAGCAATTAAGTCAGGACATTCTTATGTATAGGTGAAAAACTGAGAAGAGAATTCGACACTTACTAATCTTATTGAATTTACTCACTTGGGGCATCATTGTAATAGCAACACGATAAGATACACCACCGATTCGAGCCTCAAATTTACCAAATTGACTATAGACATTAGGAATTTCTACCGGTTCAGCTAATAAAGGTGGATCGGTAGAATTGGAATTAGGCCACATTTCATCACAGGTGATAGATCGAGCTGCGAGATTAGCAGTATAAGCAGAATTCAGTTGCTCGCTTAACAAACGTCGGTTCTTCGACATCAATTCAAATACATGATTCCACTTGGATGTTAAATTAGCACACCGAATACGATTGTAGACCTCGCGGATCATTGTTTGTAAACGACGACGACGTTCACATGGATTGTAGTACGGTCTATTTGAACTAGTTGGTCTTCGTCTCAGTGATTTCACACGGGTTCTGCGAGACTCGCATACAGGAACTATTTCACTTGGGCTGGATTTATTATTTTTACAATCACGATTTACATATGAAGATCGACGAACCATCTGTAAAAAAAAAACAAATTTATCAACTGCCGTACATACAATCATACGAATGACTTTATTTAAGGTACAGAAATCTAAACATCTACACTGGCAAAAAAGACGATAGTGGACTAACTGAAGAGAAAACATAATGATAGGTTCCTTCACTTACTATATTTAACGTTTTCTGATAATCGAAATACACATTCCACTAGTTGATGAACTTTGGTCAACAACGAAAACTAGTTTCAATGTGAAAACATTACAGTTTATCTTCAGAAATACTACTCAACATTTATTCACATTTTTGAGAGCATAGTATCCTCAAAGTTCGACCAATACAATTTAGTAACACGCATATTAGACGCAAAAACTGCAACGGCTAGGAAAAACGGGTTGAGATTCATGACTGATAGCGTCTAAACCTCGTAAGCATAATTGACTATTAATATCCATCGATCATATCCCAAATACCCAATGCTGTAATATCCACAACTACAAGTTGTAAATGTAACTTTCGTTGAGTCCAAATGCAAACAGGAAGACCAACTTATAGCACCCAAACTCAAACCATTAGGTCTAATGTTTGATTTCAGCCTCACCTACTTAACACTGGGCATACAGAAGCATCACTAGCCTCTTGTACCAATAAACTGTGCAATTTCATGCCACTTTCGAATTACATTAGAAAACAAAAAGTTCCTGACGAATAATGAAGTGTGACAAACTTCCATAATGAATATTCTCTTAACAATGGTAAAATGTAAGCGCATTCCAATAGATGCTAACAGTAAAATGTAAATTTAGGGTTTAAACATGGAAAAAGACACTTTCTCAAACCAAATACATATATTTTCCATTACAAATGATCGCTGTTTACATAGCTTCTCTTATTTGTGTGAAAGAAAATATTTAAAAGGGAAGTTTATTTTTAATGAATATACAGTAATGAAGTAAGTTGTAAGTGGAGCTCAATCTGTTCCATTTTACTTAGTTCGTACGACGTCGTTTGTTACGAATTTGTCTTCCATCCTGAAAAGGATTAACATAAATGTAATTAGCAATAAATTATGATAGATATTTGTCAAGAAAAGGTCTCCAAATGATTTGGTACTGCCGAAAGAGTATAGTCTGATCTCTTCTACCGAAATGCTTTCATCTACACACACATAACCAGTTCCAGAAAAATCCTAATACTCTCACGTGAAGTTTTAACAAAAATGGGGCAAGGGGGACTTTCGATGTTTAATCCGAGTTGGTGGATATGTAAAGTCTGGAAACCTTGGTCGCAATTCAATAATATATAGGAATTTTAATGTCTCAAGGGAATCATTGGTCATCGGCTATTACGGGATAGTATACATTAATGATGCTTTACAACTTTGAGGATTAAATGATTACATAAGGATTATGAGGGTGCCCAATATAACCATTTGTTCTCTTTTGAATGTCTGGGAAATATTACAGCGCTCATGTAATAAACAATAGTCATGAGTGAAGATGATCGAACTACTATACTTACAGTAAAAATAACTTGGTATTTATTCCTATCTCAAAGTTTACATCAGTGTCAAATTAAGAAATTAAATAACCAGATCTTAGCATTTATAAATTTCTCTTCACACGTAAGTTATTGTCTCTGATCACCACATTAATGATCAAAATGCGAAAGTATTATTGTCTTAATGAATTACTAGCAGGTAAGTAAAACAGTGGTTATTATCAATGTATATTGGCCACACCATCCTGAATGAATTTCAACTACGGCAGTTAATGTACCCACTTATATATACCTATCATATTAGATAATTCTGACTAAGATTACTACAATCTCCATAAACCCCCATTCTGATGACAATCATCATGTGCTCACTAGTGACTGGCTTCAAGATAGATTTCCTTGAGTTTTAGTGAGAAGCCGTGACCAGTAGAATTCGATTCGTGTCGGGTATCTACCTGAGAGAATGAATGAACGGTTACGCAGCCGTTCATGGATCGATGGAAGTTAGACATTAACACCGTTGGATGCCGGCTCATTGGCTCAAAGGTTAAGCGTTTGCGTGAGAACAAAGGTCTTGGGTTCGAATCCCATATGCGGGACCGTGGATGTGCACTGCTGAGGAGACCCATACCATAGCAAAACGGTCGTCCAGTGCTTCCAGGTTTTCAATGGTGGTTTAGTATTGATCCATTTATGATCCCAATCAAAATTCTGACTAAAACAATTCACATATTGTTTACATCTAGACTTTTTTCAGCCTCCTTTGTATTCCTCACACTACAGTTAATATTATTAATTCAAACGTGTAGCTTATAACTATTTCTTGGGTGAACACTCATGATCGATGTGACTTGGAATTGTAGATGGATAGCACAGACAGGGAAAGAGATTATTATATTTAAAGTAATCATCGTTATAAGCCAGTAATGAGTTAACGTTATCGGCCTGGCTCTTTTAATAATAATATTATCAGATTACTACCAACTTTTTTAAATTGGTTTAAAAATGAAATGCTTACTTTTGAAACGTCGAAAATTACATAAAACTGCCCAGTATTTAATTACTCATCGATTTATCTATCGAATTTCCAGATATTTCGCAAGGATGATATGACATATTCACCAAGTAAGGGTCTATGAACCCGGCGTTTTAGGTTACACTGGTAATACTATTCGGCTGCCTAAACCAAAGGTGGGGTGGTGACCCAATGACTAAGGTGTTTAACTTTCAGACAGTAAATCGCAGGTTCAAAACTCGCCTTAGCTGCTTTGGTCTAAGTATCCACGTAGTATTACTAGCCCATAAAGTACGCAAATCAGTACCTGTTGAACTACAAAATATTCAAAGTAGATGAGGTGGGATTCAAACCTGTGATCTACTGGCTAAAAGTTGTACTTAAATTGTTAAGCCACAGTCAGTCAGTCAGCTACAACGTAGGACCAAGCACAAATATGCATCGGTCCAAGTTGCCATACCGCATTAGCACAGCAAGATGAACACCGGATTCATAGAAGTAGTTAAGTCAATGGTGGCAATATATAAAAGAAAGATTGCATATAAGGATATAGTACAGGAAGAAAAATTTAGTACGTAGAAAGAAAGGTATAAAGCAATTCTAATTTCACGGTTTAAAGGAAGACAAAGAGTGTATACACCTACACCATTGTGATCGATTCTGAGATATGTCATCCACAGTCTCCAACCATTGGTTACGATAGTCACGTGGACCTCAATCAAGTAGCCTGCATCTACCAACATGGCTCAAACCAGATGCTAGTGTCTTCAACCACTGATGCCACGTTTTGGTTTGGCCGCCCCTAACTTTCTTTTAACCATCCCCAACACCGATTAGCATTGCACGTCGTGGTAATCGGTGTTCAGGCATACGCAACACGTGACTGCCGCTCCCTATGACAGGAAGTGTGCAGCTTATTCTTGATGGATACTCTAAAAACCATTCCCATAATGATAAGGCGATTGATGTGTAAAGGTTTTACAGAAAGTATCAATTTCTCGAGCATTTATTATAAGAGATTTAGCAAACAAAAATGGTCAAATCCTTCAACAAATATTGAAAACAAAACTATCCTTTCACTAATTATTAAGTTGACTTTTCTATTATGAGATTTAATAGTCATCCATATATAAAATATTATCATCAGTAAAATTTATTTACACTTTGTCAAAGCTATGTAGAAAAAATTATATTTTGAAGGAAATAAGTTTAGGAAATAAGACTAGTAAATTTTAGTTACAAAGGAAGTCAATGAAAGTTATGCGTAGATAAATGTTTCCGAATGCCCTGGTACGACCAAGGGTGGGGGGAGTTGATGCTCCCTCTCGAAATGCTCTCATATGTTCACATGTATATAGCCACTGCTAGGGTAATCCTACTCACTGCTTTCTCGTGGCGGGTGTTGATTACGAGATGGAGAGGATGAAAAGTAAATATCTGGGGTTTGAACCGGGTTGATGGATACAGAGTACCTACCTAGGGAAGTTGAGAAACCCTGATTCCAAACCAAAGTTCAAGGATCCTGAGGGAACGGTGTGTGAACATAGTTTTGGTCACTAGCTATCAAGGGACCGCATATCTCAACGTTGCTCCACTGCTTTGTGAATTAGACCTATAAGTCAAATGTTCGGGAAGTGGTCTACAAAGAAAACCACTAGATTCGGTTTGGACACACGGGCTGTACCTCAGCCCACACAAATTCAATAATCTGTATTTAAATAACAAATAATAAAAGCGAATGAATTTAACTTACACTACGTCCTCCACGTCTTTTCTGAGCTTTCTGTTGCTGAGCTGCCAGGATCACTTTCCACTGATTCTTTTCTTCGTCACCTTCCAAAACAAAAACAGTCTATTAAAAAGTTGCCAGAATAGTGAAGTAAACTAGATAGCTTAGAAAACTAATTTGCTGTGCTACGAAATTATATTTGCCAGTTTATTTGGACTTACTGTACTATAACTTGTCTTTTTTAGTTGGTAAACAATAGCTAGATGAAATTTTAATGTGCTCCGTTAGAGCTGATCACAGTCAGTCAGTACCAACTGACTGATCACATCTTCAATCTAGTCGTTATTATGAGTTTGAGTCATTTTATTTACACAATCTCTGGAAAAAAACATCTACGTAATATGGTAATTATTGAAATCCGCATAAATTGTTTCTGATTTTTTAGTTTGACGAACATCAGTAGGTTAATAACACAAATCAAATGACGGGGAAAATGTGTATAAAATGATTTTATATGACGTAATATCTAGCAAATTTCATGTGCTCATTAGTGGAAAGACAAATTCACTCCATTCCATAAGTTGATTACTTATGAGCGAAATATGTAGTTCACAGTATGAATAAAGGTATTAATTTTATGGACAATTACCAGTAATTACGCGACCCGATAATTCACTGTTTAAATAAGTGACAGGACTATCACCAAATGCTTCTTTTAATTTAGCCCACGCTTTTTCTGCTGTATCAGGTTGTTTGAATCGTATTACAGCTTTTCCCTCAGATGGTTCGATATCAATCCATCCCACAGGAGTACTTGAGTCAAGCTGTGAAAAGATCCAAAAAGATAAATATGAACCAAACAAAGCATAATAAACAGTATCATTTGTATATCCTAAGCTCTCTCCGAGAAAAAGTTCAAAGGGCTTGACTTAATTTCGTAACAGCAGTCCTTTAAGCAAACAAAATAACGAATTTTCACCACACAACAAAATGTTCGCCATATTACCTTACCTTTTCGTTTAACCACTGTTTCAAGTTCATAACTGTTGGTGCTTCTGAGTCTTTACTGCCATTCATTGACGACTCCTTTGATTCTTCAGTTGTAGCGTCTTCCCCTTCAACTGCATCATTTTCTAGAAAGTGAAGAGTTGTGTGATTATAGAAAAAGAGAAAAAAGCAAATATCAATATTCTATTCAGAATGATAATTAGTTCCATTGAAATATTAAAGAAAAACTAACAGCCCAAACGACTTTTTTTCCTACCATAGAAGTTATATCAGTGGCCAACCAAGCCGAACACTTCTATTCATACTTGAAGTTTGTGCTGAGTAGGACTCTACAAAAACAACTTTGTATGATAGGGCACCGAGAGCCCATTGTAAAAGTAGAGTTACAACATTATGAAGAGATAAAAAGTGGGACAGTCATATCATCAATAGACAAATAAGAAAGAATAATTACTAAGACATGGATAAAGTTTGAAAAATACAACCAAGATAGATTTTATCCTGTCAAAAACTTCAATTCCATCACAGTCGGATCATCACTTCTTAATTATAAAGTAAATATTCTAAAGCCATAAGCATAAAATTTGCATGATTACTAAGACCCCAAACAACGGAGTTGTGATGGAAAATACACAAGTTTTGTGAAGATTTCTTTCATCCCACGACACTATCATGTACTAACAACTATCTAGCTGTTTCACCCAGTCAAATAATACGCAATGTGGAGAATGCTTGGACTATATCTGTAACATATATTTAAATCACTGAAGCCCGTATTCCGTGGTACAAATTAAATCAACGCTAAGGTCACATACTTTTCAAGACCTCTGTACTCTCATGTAACCCATATATCAAGTAGAGGTTTATGGATTCAGCATTGAAACATCTCGTGTTAGCTAATGATATCCAACTCCTCAAAACAAAGCAGACAAAAAGGTTCCCAAACGGGACGAAAAGCACATTCTGGGTGTCAATACCAGCCACTATATATCTCTGCTTAGAAACGCTTTTAACTTAGTGGTAGTATCGAAGCAATCCAAACAGGAGGCACATATGCAAAAAAGACTGATGAATCGCAGTCCCAAACACCAGTGGGAAGATTCAAACGATCGACACACAACCTACACACTATGTACTGAGTACACTATATAACAGTCAAGTATTTCCTGAGAACTCGAGTGATGATTTGAGTTGTACTCAACTTATTTCGTCAACCAGCCGTTTGCGTGCACATTATGCAAGCTCAATCGCCTTTGCATATAGTTTTTGTACACCAGTCGTATTCTTCGAGTTTTCAAACTTCTGATACAGTTACTTATTTCTGTTTACCAAGTATATTAATTTTGACTAATAACAACGATACCTGGATTCTGATATTTTTGCTACCGATCCTGACTAGATTCGCATCCAGGTACAACGAATTCTTTAAGATGAGCCACTAGCATTAGATTGAACAACCAGGTACTAAGAAATTTACGAAAATTCTTCGAAATGGTGAAAACATTTCTGCTTCTTTATCCCTCTCCGATAATGTTTTTTTTGGTTTTTACAAACATTTAAGAGATATAATCGGCTATGTAAATATGGAGCATTTGCTGATGAGTTATATTGTTTTGGTAAAGTTGGACAAACAGATATTTACTTTTTGCGGCTTCTGGGAGACCAACAATTTCAAGTAATGCTCCACGAATCATTCGAGAATTAACTTGAGCCTCCTGATTAGCTTCAAGTGCAGCTTTCTTTTTGGCTTGTGAAGCAACTTTAGCCTTGTTTTCTTCTTCTTTGCGTTTCCAATAATCGATTCTAAAATTGAATTTTGAGTATTAACATACTACCAAAATTATTTGATCGTATTTACTATCATAAAATGCAGTGCAACTTCAAGTTTGTGGGTTAGAAATTAATCGGTAAGTGAACTTATATTGACTATAGGAATAAATAAACTGAATGCATCGAGTTACTACAGATTAAGATAAAGCATTACAATCACCCAAAATCTGCATTCAGACTGAAGTTTGTAGGAAATAATTTCGGAGTTTATAATGGATTCTGAACATTGCATGGGCACCATGCCCCCAAATGCCCTGGTACGGTCGAGAGTGGAGAGAGTCCGCTCTCTTTCTCCAAATGCTTTCACATGGCCACGCGTATATAGCCTCTACCAGGAGAGTCCTACCCACTTCATTCTCATGGCATAGGTGTTGTTTACGAAAATGAGAGGACGAAAAGCGAATGACTGGTGCTTTAACTGGATTCCAAACTACTGGTGCGCATGGGCTCCAGTATCCTGCGGGAACAAATGGCGTATGAACCAATCGTTGGTCACTGGCTACCATGATACTGCATCTCCTTACGATACTCCAATGTTTTGTGGATCAGACTTTCAGGTTGAAGGCTCGGGGTGTGGCCCCCTAAGAAAACCACTTGTTTCGGTTTCAGTCAGTCACTCAGTCAGCTACAACGTAGGACCAGTCACATATATGCATCGGTCCAGGTTGCCATACCTCGTTAGCACAGCAAGATGAACACCAGATTCATGGGAGTGGTTAGGTTAAAGGTGGTAATATATAGAAGAAGGATTGCATATAAGGATACAGTACCGGAATATAGAATTAGTTCGTAGAAAGGAAAATATGAAGCGATTTTAATCTCTTAGTTTAAGGGAAGACAGGGAGTGTATGCACCGACGCCATTTTGATCCTTCGGTTTGGGAACCCGGGCAGTATCACAACCCTCACACAAATCAAATGAGATTTGTGTGGCGCATATGTATTTGGTGCCTCCTTGTACCAATACCTATGTGTTAAAATAAATAAATAATGAGTACCAAACATCAATGTTCTGCATATTTCAACGAAAAACGAGTCATCTACACAGCTTAGATTACTAAGACAATGCAACTAATTTAATAAGTATAACCATGTATCACACTTTGAGCTACACTTTAAATGTAAGAACTAGTGATACAATCTAGTTGTCTCAACCGGATTATGCAGATTGCTGACCAAATTACAGGTTACTTAAGTCTGCATACTTTTGTTTCTATTATTCCAATATTCGATAGTTAATTGTAATTTCAACTAGTTTTATTGGATGTTAATTCATCAATTATGAACTACATTACTTATGCGATACCAGATAAAATGTTACTTTCATGATTACTCAATTGTGATTAATCCGTGGTTTAAGTTTTGCCAGGTCGCTACTGATGATAACAAATGATAGCACAATAAGGTATCATCAAACTTGATACTTAACATTTTCGTCTGCTTATTTGAGGTTGTTAACAGTTGTGTACGCTTCCTCGGAAACTGAGATTTGAACGGTCAAACAGTGTCATGGGATTCCAACCTATGGCATAGTTGTGAAAGAGACCACTATAAACTTCACTAAATAGATTAAAGTGTTATGTACAGATTTAAACCGGTAGTTTACGTTTTATTCGTCGATAAAAAAACGAATGGAGAAAGTCTGGGATCTAATCTTAAATAGAACATATTGTACTTACTGGGTTGAACGGACCATAGCTTTTTCTTTGAAAGTAGCAGCTTCTGGTGAGGCCAGGAACTTTTCAGAATCCTCCTTCTTCTCAAAAATAGCAAATATACTTCCCTGTTACATGAATATTAAGACAGGAATCGAGAATACCCTAAACTTTTTGTCTCGTGGAAATCTGCGCATATGCACATCAAGGGTTTTGCCACCATGTTTTTCAAGCCATTCAATAATTTCGTCCAATTTTTCCTCAGGACAGAAGCCTTTAACATAGACACCATTTTCTTTATAGCTGTTAAGAGCTGTTTCAAGTGTTTCAGGAACTTTCAACTCAGGATTTCTTCGTAGACCTTTTTCGCCCACTTCAATCAATCCGGACTGTGACTTGGATACTGACTTCTTTATAAACTCAACATCCTCTGACAAAGACTTTAGACGGTTAAATTTAATCATTGTCTCCATAGGAATCCCTAGAAGCACGAAATTATAATTTTACTCAAATATGAATCTTACATCCGTCATTTTCTTTAACAGCCTCTTTCATGAACTTATCACGTGACAGATTTACATCTCCAAAGTAATACTAAAGTAACTCAAGAAAAAAGAATTGGCTTGAACTACCTCGACTTGTCTAATTATTCTGGACTCTAAAGGCGTGATTTCAACCATTTTCAAAAACACCACACTAAATTAGACGAGTATAACAAATGTGCAAAATTGAAATTTCAGAAGTTGATATAATTCTAGATAAATGGTAAGCTAGAAGTTCGGTATTATGAATAGACAATGGTGGGCCTACCACGTAAAATCTTATCGATTCTACCGCGCGCTTTTCGAACGGGAAGTTTCGTACTAACGTGATTTGCATTTATCAAACTTTTGCTGTGTTCTTACGCAACAAAAGTACCATTTCAGTTCTAAAGAATCTATCCTGAGCTATACGTTCGGTAGATTATTTTTTTTAGTTTCACCATATTTAATAGTTACCTGTGGTTTTGCCTCAGTTTACTATTCGGTTTGTTTTTGTTTTTCACGTATAGACTAGTTTCAGTTTATAACACTCGTTTTATCCATTTTTGTCCGTTTTCAGTGTGCTTTTTAGTGTTTTTTAAACGTCTTAGGCTCTTGCAAGCATCTATAACATAGTTCGCTTCAACATAGTCATGAAAAACTCATGCAAACGTCCGGGATGCCGTTGCTGTTGCAACTGGCATGCAGTGCGACAACTGCAAAGGTTGGTTCCACGAAGCATGCACAGATCTGACATCAACTGCTTACAACAGACTCAGCAAGTCAGACCAAAAATGGGTATGTGTCACGTGCAGCACGGATGCTGTAGTTTTGCTGAGTAACATCATTGTCCTACTGACAGGTCTTCGGAACAAGTTGTCAGTTAACTTGGACAACGACAGTAAGAAAACCGGTAGACAAACAAGAGCGTGCGACGGACACAAAAACAGGGATGTCGATAGGTATACCATCGATGGAACATCCATCAACACTAATGATGACGTGTCGAGGCTCAGCACCATCATTACGTCGAAGGTATTAGACTCCCTAAGTAAACTCGGGTCTCCCAGCTCAGGGTCCCTGAACTCAACAGTGGTTCCCAAAAACCCTGTAGATGATCCGACCCAAGTTAAGAAAGCCCAAAAGAACCAGGCATCACCGCCTAAGCCGAGCAACCCAAATGTTGTTGTACGGAAATTAACTGGTGATTTGGTAGCACAGTCTACTCCCAAGACTGTTCATCCGGTCAAAAAAGAGCTCAAGCCTCATAAACGCACACTGACCTCCAAACAGCAAGTCATTAAACACGAACCCGCCGTGAAACCTGGTAAATTAACAACAGTTCGTGACGACTCTCTCATTATCATGAACCTCGTTGATAATCCTGACCTTCCTCTCAGTCTGCAGGACAAAAACGACAGGATGCTTTGGGGCGAATTGAACAAGAAACTAGAACATCCTAGAATAGAGCCTTTGATGTTCACCCGGCTCTCTAGAGGAAAGGACTCTAAGCATCTAAATCACCCAAGGCTTCTCCGAGTATCATTTAAGAATTCTACTGATGTTGAGGACGTCTTACTAGCAAGTCACTTGCTGAAATCAGATGGTAACGTAAGAATATTGCCCGATATACCGTTCTCTGAGCGCAATATCATACGTAACATCCCTAAAGAATCTCGTGAGAAGTTTTTCCGCGGAAGAAACATAATTGTGCAAGGTATACCGGAGAATACAGACCCTACTCAATCAAATTCTGACATCAGGGAATGGAAATTCATCAAACAGTCCTTGAGGCTCAAACACATACTGACTCAGCATGTGACGAGATTAGCCAAGAAGGACGGTGATCTTAGACTTCGTCTAATGAATTTACCTTCCCATCTTCCCACATGGCGGCTGCAGTTCTGGAAGCATTTCGTGCCAACAGACGTCGATTGCCACCTGGAATCCACATGCACCCGGACAGGCCATACGAAGCCAGGACCAAGTACAAAGGCAAGTTGGAGCTGACCATTCCACTTGTGGATTGTCTAAACGATAAAAAAACGTGTAAAGGACAGGGCCTACCACCTCGGTAAACCTCACATGGGTGGGCTACCTGTCCATTCACATAGGGCTCATACAGAAAAACAGGACGAAGCTCATGCGTTCCAAATTGAAAGCATAAACTGCTTATACACGAACGCCTCGAGTCTACCAAACAAACTGGATGAATTACGTGAACTTTGCAACGCTAATAAGGCCCACCTGATAGGAATATCTGAAACCTGGATATCTTCTCAGTTCTCGGACCAAGAGTTAGCATTACCAGGGATGACTTTGTTCCGCAACGACAGAACAACAGGAATTGGGGGTGGAGTAGCCATATACATAAGCTCTTGCTTGGAGGTGCACCAAGTTCACAACCTCGAGTTTAACAATCTTGAGGAATCCATATGGTGCTCTGTAAGATTGTCTAGCACTTCGAGGTGTCTAGTCGGTGTCATTTAAAGGAAGCCAACTGCTGACATCGAGTACGATAGTCGTATGCTGGATGGACTATCCCGCTCTACCCGTCTCGGTTTCACACACATCCTGATTCTAGGGGACTTTAACCTTCCTAGAGTCAACTTCGTGGAACACACGTATACTGGAGGCGACAACTCAATTGAAGCTCGGTTCTTCAACCTCATTGATGACTTGGGCTTATATGAAAATGTGAGGTCGGCAACTCGTTGGAGAAACAGTCAGACACCATCGCGGTTAGACTGAGTATTCACAAACGAAGAATTCCTAGTTGACAACCTCTCAATCCTGGCTCCTCTGGAAAAGAGCGATCATGCCGTCATAGCCTTCAGTTTTGTCATCAAAACTAAGCTAAGGTATCCCAACAATAATTTGAGTTGGAATTTTAAACCGCTGAATGTGCCAGCTCTACACGACTATTTACAACAGGTGGTTTGGGATGTTCACCCCCAACTCGATGTGGACGGTCACTGGAACTTCTTACTGCACACGCTCTTATGTGCTACAAACCATTCAGTTCCTCAAACGGTTCCCAAAAGCTGTAAGCCACCTACAATAATCAAGAACCGTACCCTTCGCCTGCTAAGCCGTAAAAGACACTGTTGGGCGGAATATAAACGAACTGACAACGAAGGAGCGTATAGGCAATTCAAACATATCAGGAACATATGCACGAAGGCTATAAGAGAAGACAGGCTTCATTATCAGACAAAGCTTATGGACAAATTTGCCTCGAACCCTAGAAGCCTATTCCGTTATGCAGCCTCTCTTCGTCAAGCCAAAACAGGAGTTTCTCAACTGCTAGGTCTTAATGGCCCAACCAACAACGATGGTGACGCCGCTAACCTTCTGGCGGCACACTACTCTCAAACATTTCAGCCGGCTGACATCAACTCTATTGACGACAGTTTCACCTGTAATTCCACAGGGCTTTCCGAAGTGAACCTAAGCACTGACTTGGTGTTCCGGAAACTGCAGCACTTAAGACTAGATACTTCTCCTGGCCCGGATATGGTTCATTCTGCCATACTGAAGGAGGCAGCCTCAATCCTGGCAACGCCGCTTAGCGTGATGTTTTCACACTCGCTAAGCCAAGGCAAATTACCGGAAAATTGGAAGTTGGCTCACATCACACCAATTTTCAAAGGGGGTCGACGCAATGAACCTTCAAGTTATCGGCCTGTGGCTCTTCTGTCATTACCTTCAAAACTCATGGAGTCCCTGATATGCGATGGTTTAAACGATTATCTACTGTCCTTAAACTTCTTCTCACCCCAACAGCATGGTTTCAGGAAGGGTTACTCTTGTATAACCAACCTGCTGACTGCGGTGGACAGATGGACAAGCATCCTCGACCGCAAGGGAAAGGTTGATATCATATACCTTGACTTCTCAAAAGCTTTTGATAAAGTTAACCACTTGTGTCTTATCAACAAGCTCAAACGACTAGGTATCAAACCACCTCTAATCGATTGGCTTACTTCATACCTAGAAAATCAACACTTTAAGGTTAGGGTTAATTTCACTTTATCTCAGGCTATGGAATGTCCTATTGGGTTCCCCAGGGCTCAGTACTAGGGCCTCTTCTCTTCTCGATCTACATAAATGATCTTCCTCAACAGGTAACGTCAGAATTGTTACTCTTTGCCGATGATGTTAAACATTGGAGAGAGATACGCAACCAGGACGATATACAGGCATTTCAGGAGGATCTGACTCGACTTCAAAGTTGGGTAGACGATAACGGACTTACCTTTAACACTTCAAAGTGTAAAGTAGTCCATCTGCGACATGTCGCAGACTACAGTTATAACTTAGAAAACTCCTCTCTAGTAGTATCCCAAGTCGAAAATGATTTAGGAGTCCTGGTGCCCTACGATTTGAAGTCTTATGCTAACTGTGACAAAAGTGCCTTCCGAGCAAACCTCGCACAGGTAACGTTGAAGCGCATTTTTGGCCAGTTCGACGGGTGAACTTTCCATATAATCTTCAATAGTTTTATCCGTCTCCATTTAGAGTTCGGAAACATAGTACTCCCCCCTCATTCTAAAAGGACAAAGTCACTTTGGAGCGTATCCAACGGCGAGCCACGAAATCAGTTCGAGGACTCAAATCTAAGCCTTACGAAGAACGCCTCCATTCACTAGACCTTTACCCATTAGATTATAGGCGTCTTAGAGGTGATTTATTAATGGCTTATAGTATTCTTAACACTTCTGGACATCCTCTTAAACACCTACTCAAGCTTAGTTCGAATAATAACCTAAGGGGTAACACCCAGAAACTGGAAACTCAATATAGCAAGACGGGATGTAGACACAACTTCTACTCCTTAAGAGTTGTCAAAAGCTGGAATTCGCTGCCCGCTGAGCTAGTCCAAGCGACTTCTCAGGAGTCCTTCAAGAGGCAACTTGACCTATTCTTAAGGACCAAAGACAGTATCATACTATGATTTACCAAGTTCTTTTCCTCTTTTATTGTTAACATACCTAGGTTCCTGCCTGGAGGATTTGGTGATCCCTTGCTACTAGACACGGAAGCCTGTTAAGCGAAAGCTTCTTCTATTCCGTCCACAACCATTTGAACCATTTGAACCATTAGGTGGCCACTTCATGACAAATCTACAACTTTGGGATTGAGTCTTTTATTATGATAGTATTAAGAGCGAAGTAGGCTA